TTTCTTCTCTCTAGGTTTTCATGACTCCTCTCTCCTGGTTATTCTCCTAGCTCTCTCCTTTATCTCACCTAGTAATAATGGGCATCCCCCAAAGCTCTGACCTGAATCTTCTTGTCTTCTTATCCTATTTCACTTGATATCATCAGCTCTAACAGAATTAGCTATCATCTCCATGATAGATTCACAGATGTCTTTGTCCCTAACCCCAAACATTCTCCATACCACCAGTCTTTTTTTTTCTTTTTCTAAATTTATTTTGAATTAACAACAATCACTTCCATAAGCTTTTGAGTTTAAAATTTTTCTCCCCCTCCCTCCACACTTTCTCCCCAAGCTGTCACGCAATCTGATATAGGCTATACATATACATTCCTATTAAACATATTTTCACATTAGTGATGTTGTAAGTAAAAATTAGAATCAATAGGAGGAACCACCAGAAAGAGGAAACAAAACACAGCAGAAGAAAAAAATAGCAAATGTTTTGATCTACATTCAAACTCCATAGTTCTTTCTTTGGATGTGGATAGCATTTTCCATCATGAGGCCTTTGGAGATGTCTTAGATCCTTGCATTACTAAGAAGGGTTAAGTCTATCAATATTAGTCATTGCACAACGTGGCTGTTATGGTGTATAGCGTTCTCCTGGTTCTGCTCACTTCACTCAGCATCAGACCACACAAGTCTTTCTAGGTTTTTCTGAAGTCAGCATGTTCATCATTTCTTATAGGACGATAGTATTCCATTACATTCATATACCACAACTTGCTCGGCCATTCCCCAGTTGATGGGCATCCTCTCAATTTCCAATTCTTTGCCACCACAAAAAGAGCTGCTATAAATATTTTTGTATATGTGGGCCCTTTTCCCATTTGTATGATCTCTTTGGGATATAGCCCTAGAAATACTATTGCAGGGTCAAAGGGTATGCATATTTTTATAGCCCTTTAGGCATAGTCCCAAATTACTCTCCAAAAATGGTTGGATCATTTCACAACTCCACCAACAATGTATCAGTGTTCCAATTTTCCCACATCCTCTCCAACATTTATCATTTTCCTGTTTTGTCATGTTGGCCAATCTGATAGGTGTGATGTGGTACCTCAGAGTTGTTTTGATTTGCATTTCTCTAATCAATAACGATTTAGAGCATTTTTTTCATATAACTATAGATGGCTTTAATTTCTTCATCTGAGAATTATCTGTTCACATCCTTTGACCATTTATCAGTTGGGAAATGGCTTGTGTTCTTACAAATTTGACTTAATTCTCTATATATTTCAGAAATGAGGCCCTTATCAGAGAGACTGGTTGTAAAAATTCTTTCCCAATTTTCTACCTTCCTTCTTATCTTGGTTGCATTGGCTTTGTTTGTCCAAAAACTTTTCAATTTAATGCAATCAAAGTTATCCATTTTGAATTTCATAATGTTCTCTATTTCCTGCTTGATCATGAATTCTTCTCCATAGATCTGATAGGTAAACTATTCCTTGCTCTCCCAATTTGCTTACAGTATCAGTCTTTATATCTAAATCATGAACTGATTTTGACTTTATTTTGGTATGTGGTGTGAGATTTTTATGTATGCCTTGTTTCTGCCATACTCTTTTCCAGTTTTCCCAGCAGTTTTTGTCAGAGCGAGTTCTTATCCCAGAAGCTGGGGTCTTTGGGTTTATCAAATAATAGATTATCATACTCACTGACTACTGTGTCTTGCTACTTAACCTATTCCACTGATCTACCACTGTATTTCTTAGCCAGTACTAAGAAATTTTGATGATTGCTGCTTTATAATACAATTTAAGATCTGAAATGGCTAGGCCACCTTCCCCTGCATTTCTTTTCATTAATTCCCTTGGTATTCTGGACCTTTTGTTATTCCAAATGAATCTTCTTATTAATTTTTTTCTAACTCTATAAAATAATTTTTTGGTAGTTTGATTGGTATGGCACTGAATAAGTAAATTAGCTTAGGTAGAATTCATACCTCCAGTCTTGCACTTCCAACTGTCTATTAGATTAAATTTAAAATTTCAAAACTTCAACTTACCTCCTTTCCAAAGTATCTCTTCTTTTTAGCATCCCTCTTACTGTTAAGGGCTCCACCATCCTACCAGTCACACAGATACACAACTCTAGCCTTACCCCTGACATCTAATGAGATTCCAACTCCTGCCATTCCTTCCTTCTCAACATCTCTCACATGTGCCCCCTTCCCTTTGTCTGACACTGTTATCCCCCTGGTCCTATCTATTATTACATAATTTCTGTATTATCACAATATATCTGGTGGTCAGTCTTCTTGACTGAAGGGTCAACATTCCAGTCTATTCTGTAGCCACCTATCAAAGTGATTTTTCTTAAATCTCAGGTTTAAGTATGTCACTCTTTTATTCAGTAAACTCCAGTGACTCCCCATCACCTCCAGGATCAAATATAAAATCCTCTGCTTGGCTTCTAAAGCCTTTCATAACTTGACCCATTTTTACTTTGTCAGGCTTTTTACACCTTACTTACTTCCACATGTTCTACCATCCAGTGACACGGGCCTCCTTGCAGTAGCTCACTCAAGACATTCCACCTTCCAACTCTGTGTTTTCACTGCTTTTCACTCAAAGCTGAAATACTCTCAGTCCTCGCCTCTACCTCCTGGCCTCCCTCATTTCTTTAGAGCTCCAGCTGGCATCCCATTTTCTATAATCAGCCTTTTCCAATCCCCATTAATGCCTTCATTCTGAAATTATTTCCAATTGATCCTACATATACCTGTTCAGACACAGTTGATTTCAAGTTGTTTTTCCTACTAGAGTGTTAATTTCTTGAGAACAGGGACCATTTTTGCCTTTCTTTGTATCTCTAGTGCTTAGCATGGTTTCTTTCATATCATAAGTGCTTAAAAATGCTTCTTGACATAACTTTATCAGAGAAATTTACCAAAAAGATTTTTCCCTATATAATTCTCCCTTCCATTTTTAACTGTATTAGATTTATTTACTCAATAAGATTTTAATTACATACAGTCTTAATTGTATGTTTTATCTTCTGTGATTTTTTCCACCCCTTCTTTAGTCATGAATTCTTCCTCTATTTCTTTTGTGCTTTTTTAATTTGCTTATGGTGTCACTTTTCGTGTCTAAGTCTTGTATCCGTTTGCAGTTTATCTTGTTATATGGTATGAGATTTTGGTCTGTGCCCAATTTCTGCCGAATTACCTCTTAGTTTTCTTTGCACTTATTGAACACAATGCTACTGTGTTCATTTACTTTTGGATGTTGTATAACTTATCTGTTCCACTAAATGACCTTTCTGTTTCTTAACCAATACCAAATTACTTTAACAATTACTGCTTAATGGTATAGTTTGAGATCTGATACCGATAACACCCTTCCTTTCCACTTTTGTCTATTATTACCCTTTAAATTTTTTACTTTTTGCTCTTGTAAATGAATTTCATCAGCTTACCTAACACTCATCATCTAAACAGGACATATCCTATTTCCTGTCTGCTTAAACTTTTTGTTTCCTCTTACCTCAGTGCTTCATTTTAAGATGTTTGGCCAGGAGTAAGCCTGTTGTTATATTTGAAAATTAAGGTAAACTGAGAGACAATGATCTGAGCATGATCAATTTATTAGTTAGGCTAGCAGTAACCAATACATTTGGTCAATGCCTCTCTCAATTACCAAAGACCACTTACTAGGGCTTGCTAGCCTTCATATAGATTGGGGACGTACAAGAAAACAAAGAGCAGAGTTGGGTAGATGGGGAAAAACAGTGTAATTGGTTAGAGAATAGACAGCATCATGTGGGCAGGAACCACATGACTGGTTACATCAAAAAGAGCAGGCTAGCACTCATGTGGGGCTAGTGATCACCCCTCTCTGTCATATAGGAATGTGTGATTGATTTATAGGTCCCATCTGCATATTGCAGATCTTGTTAGTGGATCTGAGTTAGCAGACTCCCTGACACCTAGAAAGGTTTGTTAGGGAGATAAGGCTTTCTTCAAGGGTGCAAGGACAGTTCAGGGACAATGTATCTCTTAGAGCTAGCTTCAGGATAACACCAGGTGTCTTTGTATTCTCCCAGAAGCTGAACGTATGATGAATACCAAGTTTCCTTTTAACTAACTCAGAGGGAAAACTGAACTGCTATGACTAAGAAATGTTCATTTGTTACCTTCAAGGTTAGAAATAGTGGACTAGACTCCCTGGTGTCCACCTGTACACCTCAAGGATAACAGATTTCCTTGAAGCAAGAATAGCATGGTGATTAACAGGGCAATTGGACCTCTAAATTTGGCTAATAGGCAAAGAGACAAAGAAATATGGTTTCAGCAATCATACAAAATGAAGGATTAATATAGAATAGGATCAATTACAGAATAGAATCAATTATAAAATGATACAGAATCAATTTAATTTCTTCACCTGGGCAATACGATAGAGCTAGAATAATAAAATAAAATAAAATAAAAACAAAATGAAATTAAATGAATGAAAACTCCTCTGCATAGAATTTAAATCCTTTTTCAATCTTATCTGTCTAATCTGCTGACACATTATGGTCTTAGATACATTCTACTGTACAGTAAAGCTGGCCTTCTTGCTGTTCTCCATATATAGCATTCAATTTCCTTCCTGTCATCGATATACGGATTCTTCTTCCTCCTCATTTATGTCACATACACTCTAACCTTCTTCAAGACTCAAGTCAGGGCAGAGACAAGATGGTGGAGTGAAAGAAGTGACTTGCTTGAGCTCTCCCCCAAACCCCTCCAAATACTCATAAAAAATGGCTCTAAACAAATTCTGAAGCAGCAGAACCCATAAAAAGACAGAGTGAAACAAATTTCCAGCCCAAGACAACCTGGATGATTGATCAGAAAGGTGTATTGCGCCGGGCTGGGAGCACAGCACAGCATGGGCGTGCAGGCCGCAGCAAACCTGGAGCAGGCCTCAGAGGACTGAATCGCGGGCAGCTGTGGAGGTTTCCAGACTCCTCAATCCACGAATGCCAAAGACAACTTAGAAGGTCAGTGGGAAAAGTCTGTTTCTGTCGGTGGTCAGAGAGGAAGGCAGGGTTTCAGCTCCATTCCCCAAGAGCATGACCCGGGGGTGGGGGCAGCTGCTTCCTGACCTTCCCACCCACAGACTGAGGGGGAATCCAGTGGCTGATCAGAGAGGGACTGCAGGGATCTCTTTGCCAGTGCTAAGGCAGGAATCTCTTGCTTTGCCCGTGTGTGGATCTGGGTCACAGTTCTGGGTGGCAGTGCTGGGGTTAGGAGGAGCACTGGAATGATGGAGCTTGTAGTGGCTGTGAAGAGGAACCCCTCCTCACAGTTACGGGACAGAAAGGAGTACTTGTGGTCACAGGCCAGGAAAGGAGTAAACACCTTGCCCCTTATCATACCACCTTGGAAGAACTGAAAATTTACAGGTCCCTACAAGTATCTCTGAAAACAGCTACACAAACCCCTGAAGCTTGGGACAGTACACTCTCCACATTGGAAGCAGACTCTTACCTTAACAAAGAGTTTAAAACTCAAGTAATTGGCTGGGATCATGAGCAAGCAGCGCAAAAAGAGTCAGACTATATTATCTTACTTTGGTGACAAAAAAGATCAAAATATACAACCAGAAGACAACAAAATCAAAGCTCCTACATCCAAAGCCTCCAAGAAAAATATGAATCAGTCCCAGGCCTTGGAAGAGCTCAAAAGGGATTTTGAGAAGCAAGTAAGGGAAGTAGAGGAAAGAAATGGGAAGAGAAATGAGAGCGATGCAAGAAAATTATGAAAAACAAGTCAACGGCTTGCTAAAGGAGACCCAAAAAAAACTGAAGAAAATAACACCTTAAAAAACAGCCTAACCCAAATGGCAAAAGAGGTCCAAAAAGCCAATGAGGAGAAGAATGCCCTAAAAAGCAAAATTGGCCAAATGGAAAAGGAAGTCCAAAAGATTACTGAAGAAAATACTTCCTTAAAAATTAGAATAGAGCAATTGGAAGACAGTGACTTTATGAGAAATCAAGACACTGTAAAACAAATCCAAAAGAATGAAAAATTAGAAAACAATGTGAAAATCTCATTGGAAAAACAACTGACCTGGAAAATAGATCCAGGAGAGAGAATTTAAAAATTATTGGACTATCTGAAAGCCATGATCAAAAAAAGAGCCTAGACATCATCTTTCAAGAAATTTTCAAGGAAAACTGCCCTGATATGTTAGAACCAGAGGGCAAAATAGAAATTGAAAGAATCCACAGATCTCCTCCTGAAAGAGATCCCCAAAGGAAAACTCCTAGGAATATTATAGCCAAATTCCAGAGTTCCCAGGTCAAGGAGAAAATATTACAAGCTGCCAGAAGGAAACAATTCAAGTACTGTGGAAACACAATTAGGATAACACAAGATTTAGCAGCTTCTACATTAAAGGACCGCAGGGCATGGAATATAATATTCTGGAGGGCAAAGGAGATAGGATTACAACCAAGAATCACCTACCCAGCAAAACTGAGTATAATCCTTCAGGGGAAAAAATGGTCATTCAGTGAAATAGAGGACTTTCAAGCATTCCTGATGAAAAGACCAGAGCTAAACAGAAAATTTGACTTTCAAATACAGGACTCCAGTGGAACATGAAGAGGTAAACAGGAAAGAGACTTATTAAGATTGAACTGTTTACATTCTTGCATGGAAAGATGATATTTGTAACTCATGAGAACTTTGTCAGTATTAGGGTAGTTGAAGGAAAAAAATTGTATGTATGTATATATAAGAGCCATTTGGCTTAAGGACAGAACAACATACACATTCAATTGGGTATGGAAATCTGTCTTACCCTACAGGAAAATAGGGGGAGAAGGGGACAAGAGAGCAGGGGGGTGATAGAGAGGAGGGCAGAATGGGAAAGAGGGTAATCAGAAGCAAATACTTCTGAGGAGCGACAGGGTCAAAGGAAAGAATAGAATAAATGGGAGGGCAGGATAGGATTAAGAGAAATAGAATTAGTTTTTCACAACATGTCTACTAAGGAAGTGTTTTGCATAACTGCACATGTACAACCTATATTGAGTTGCTTGCCTTTTCAATGAGGGTGGGTGGGGAGGGAGGAAGGGAGAAAATTTGGAACTCAAAGTTTTAAAAACACGTGTTTTAAAAAAAATGTTTTCACATGCAACTGGGAAATAAGAAATACAGGAAATGGGGTACAGAAGTCTATCCTGCTCTACAGGAAAATAGAAGGGGAAGGGGATAAGAGAAGGGAGGGGAGGAGAGATAGAAGAGAAGGCAGACCAGGGGAAGGGGTATGCATGCCATCTTGGGGTGGGGGGAGGGGTGAGAAATTTGGAACTCAAAAACTTGTGGAAGTGAATATTGAAAACTAAAAATAAATAAATTTATATTAAAAAAAAAGACTCAAGTTAGGTGTTACCCTCGACAACAGACCTTTCCAGTTCTCCTCAATCATCTTATATTTATTTTGTACATTCTTATATATGCACATGTTCTCTCCCTAGAGAGAATGTCTTTCTTTTTGCTTGTATTTTTATTCCCAGTGCTTAGCACAGTGCCTTGTATAGAGTAAGTGTGTAAAAAATGATAGTCAACTTGGTAATTGTAGAAGGTATAGACAGCCCTTTATCAATTCATTGAAATAATAGAAGACAATTTCCTGATGGACCATGAAGAATCCTAGTTCTGACTCTTTGCTGACCCATTCACACCCCTACTGAAGAGAAGTGCTTAAGTCTCAGCATTGGAGATGTTTTGTCCACTTATGCAATGGTGGATCAGGGGTGAGACAGATAGACCAACAGAAAGAAAGACAAAGAGAGACACAAACAAAGACAGAAAAAAGAGAGAGAAAGAGAGGAAGAAACAGAAATATAAAAGAGCTCATCATAAAACTGGGTTCCATGAGTGGAGGATGGGGAGATGGGATGAAGCTCATGTCTACACATCACCTACCCTCCTTAGACCACTTATAGCATCTTAGATGAAGATATAACAGAAGCACCCCAATACATTGACCAACATACATCTCAGCCTCATGACCAGAAATGTAATAGCAGCCAGGGGTGTAGATGAGTGGAAGAAAAGGTAGATAGAGACTCCTGGAAGTAAAGAAAAAGTCAGGGACTAGGGAACAATGCAGAGGAGCAAATCAGGGCTTTGTCTCTTATTACTGCTCTGAGTTAAAGCAATGCAAGCCTAATGGAAAGAGATTTCCCTATTGAACAAACCCAAATTAACTTTCTCCCACCCTAGATGCTTATATCAGCCACCAGCCTTATACTGTTACAGAAATATTTGGATTAACTCCAAATGCAGATGAGTGGCTAGTCATCCCTTCTGCTTCTTCACATGCAAGTGAGCTGTTCAAGCCTCAGACCTTTTCTAGTTACAGAACATTTCTTAACATTTCTTCTGTATTACTGTGGTGTTTAAAAAGGTTCAAGAGACATAATTTCTGGGCAATTTCATTGTTTTATCAATAATACTAGCATTTTAATAAAAAGATGGTCATTTGACCATCTCTCTCTTAGACCTAAGACAATCATGGCAGCAGGCTCATGGCTTATATGGTCTTTTGGAAGAGATGTGTTCCTGAGGGTGGCAATTGCCTCTGATTGGTTAACAATTAATGAGAGAATGAATAATATAATGAGGGGCTGTACTTTGATTGCATCATTTACTTCTAAATTAGGTCCAGCCTTGGGCAATCCGATTCAAAGAATTTATACCCACCCAAGCCTGAATAGAACACAATGGCTGTCCCATCTGGGTGGGGTCTGGATATAGGAGGTTGGCTAAACCTTCAGAGACTGAGGTCTTGAAATGTGGATAAAAGAAAAAGGGGGAAATCTGAATCTCCCCGAATAATTGGTTATTAATAATCATTTCTCTCAATTATAAAGAGCTTCTGCTTTACATGTTGATGGCTGTTTTGCCCCTACTATTCTCTGCTTTATTAAGAAAAGATTTGGAATAGCTGCTATGTGCTAGGGCAGAGCAGTCAAACTCACACAGAAATTGGGACCACTTTGCCATATATAAGTATCCCTGTGGCTCACAAATGGATTTAGAAGACTACACATGTTTATATATTTCCTTTTTATTAATACATCAACACATTAAATCAGTTAGGACTCCATCTTAGGTTTAGTTTGGTTCAGGAGTATTGTGGCCCATATGCTGCCTGTGGGCCACATTTTTGTCACCTCCATGTTAGAGAATCAAGTGAAAAGGAGAAAAAGGATGCCTTGTCAGGCCCCAATTGAGACCAAAGAACATGAATTTACGTGAATCAGTCGCCTAACAGTATTAAGTGCTTACAACACACCTGGCACTGTGCGAAGAGCTGGGAATATGAAGAAAGAGAAAAAGCTGCCCCTGCCCTCAAGAAGTTTACATACTATTGAGGATGATTACTTATAAATAAATAAATAGATACATCTAAGATCCTTGCAGAGTCGAAAGGGTAATGCCCCAGTAACTTGAGGGACCAGGAAAGGCATCCTGCTGAAGGTGACCTTTAAGCTGAATATTGAAGAAATCTAAGTATTCTACTGGGTACTAGTGAGGGGAGAGAGAATTCTAGGCATGGGGGACATTCAGTGCAAAGGTACAGAAGTAGGAGACAGATCTTCATGTCAGGAAGCACTGGTAGATCAGTATAGCTAGACCATAGAGTACGTGCAAGGTAGTGATATATTAGAAGGCTGGGAAGGTAGGAAGGGACCAGACTGGGAGGACCTTTAAAAACAAAACAAAGGAGTTTCTGTTTAATCTTAGAGATAATAGGGAGCCACTGGAGGTCATTGAGGGGGGAAGAGGGGGCAAGAGTGTGCTGGTAAATATTTAACAACTGACTCTGATAAGTACAACTGATGTTTAGGTTTAATCTGCATAATTAACATTTTCTTCATCACTTTCTTAAGTCTAGGCAATCAATGAAACAATGAATCAAGCTGAAACAATAAATCAAGAGATATTTGCTGATTCCAGGGGTATAAATGTTCACACTGAAAATTTAATGTAAGTACTCTCAAAAGCTATATGAACTGGCTTCACCACACACCTCGGGGAAGGAGGTGACAGAGTTAGACCCGTACCTTAGCAAATCTCTTTGGAAGCCGAACAAAGTATGGAATGAGAAAAAAAAAATGAGAAACTTGAGGCAGAGAAATAATGAGAAGATTGTTGCAATAGGACAAGATGATGGGACTTCATAGAGATGGTGGCAGTGTCAGAGGAGCATAGGAGTGTATAAGAAATGTTACAAAGGTCGATACACTAAGACTTAGCAGCTAATGGATATGGGTAATGAGAGGGAGTGAGGAGTCAAGGATAGCATCTAGGTTACAATCCTGGTTGACGGGGAGGATGGTGGTACCCAAGAATTGGAGAATTGTGGGAAAAGATGAGTTTAGTTTTGAACACATGGAGTTTAAGAAATTTGAGAGTATATCCAATTCAACGTGGCCAATAGGCAGAGATTCAAAACTGAAAGTTTGGGAAAAGATTAGGACTGAATGTGTCAAATGATTAATCCCTGTGTCAAATGATTAATTTAATCCTTATTTTATTAACCCCTATTTTATTCCAATCAGTATTATTCAGTTTAGTGTAATTCCACAGGGGTAGTGACTGTGCTGTTAATACTTGTTTATTTATATACATTTAGTTATAGCTAAGTTCACTTGCTTAACTAGAGGCTAGTTAATGAGTTAAGCTAGTTAACTTGCCTAACTAGATGCTAACTAGAGGACCTCCACCCTTTTTAATGTACAGTCATAGTGACTGAGTCCAGGCATGGCCAAGATGACCTAGTGTAGCAGAGGTAACCTAATGATATGGAAAGTCCACTGGCTTATTTTTGCCCCCCAGCATCCTTCTACTGCCCAACATAGGGAAACAGACATGACTACTTAACCAAGATCCAGAAAAGGAGACAGAAGAGTGGGCAGATAGGTAGAAGAATAACCAAGGGAGTTCCCCTCCCCCAACCAAAAAAAAACTAGAAAGGAGAGGTTAAGAAGATAAGTATTGAAAAGTTTGGTGATTAAGAAGTTATTGGTAAAACTTTGGAGAGGGCAGTTTCAATTGAATCATCAGGAGAAAAGCCAAACTGCTTATGAGTAAAAAGAGAACAAGAGGAGGAAATGGGGGCACCTATTGAGGTTGGCCTTCTCCAGGAGTTTAGACATAGAATGGAAGAGAGATATGAGATGATATCTAGCAAGGATGGCTGCATCAAGTGCAGGGGTTTTTGAAGCTGGAGGAGATATGGGCATATGTGTGAACCATGGGGAAACAACCAGATAGCAAGGAGAGACTGAAAATTGCCAAGAGCAGGGATGATAGAGATCACAATCTACTAAAGACCATGGCATGGAATGGGATCATTTCTGCATGGAAAGAGCCTACGCTGAGCAAGGGGGAAAAGCCACCTTTTCAAGTGAAATAAGGGTAAAGCAAGAGAGAGAAAGGTATTTGCGTGTTGTGAGATGAGGAGAAGGAATAAATGAGAGCTATGAGAATGATTTCCAATTTTTTCAGTGATATATGAGGTAAGGTTGTCAACTGAGAGTACAGAGAAAAGGGAACCATTTGAGAAGGGATAAAGAAAATTAGGAAAACACTCTATGTTGACTTGGGATGGTGAACCCAATGGGAAGGTGTAAAATGATTGACTTGCCACAGTGAGGGCTCAGTTAAGATTCTGGAACATGAATTTGTAATGGACCTAGTTGGCATGGTTTAGGGGTACTGGGAACCCCAAAATGTCACGGTACAGGGTGGTATCTGCCTGGAATGAATTCACACACTCAAACCATCTTCTAGTCAAAATGGCAAAGTTTATTATAAAGCTAATAAAGGAGTCATAACCTGCAAATTAATAAGGATGATACTGATGTTTATATACAAAAGAGACAGTGACCAATCTGGGTGGGATTAAGGAGTGGTAAATTGTCTGGGGTGGGCCAGGTGTCTTGGGCATGAGGCTCCAGTGGTCTAAACTGCAGGAATGTATTGGAAAATTCGGGAAGTCCACAGAGATAGCTTTCTTAAAAGGACAAGATAGTTCTGTTTATACAAAGGTTTGCCAGAGACATGGTCCTTGGGCAAGCATCCTGTGCCTGCACTGGTAGCTTTTATCTGAGGAATTACAGGGTCTGGCCTGTATGTGATTGGGTTGCTTTCAGAGACATGGTCTTTTCCTTTAGGGGTCCAGGTCCCATTGGTCCATGACAGTCAATACATTTTTTTTTAATTTTTCTACAGCTCAATTCAGTAACACATGAGTAGGAAGGTAGGCAGCTAACGGAAGCAGTAATCCAAGGCTAAGGATTGACAGAGAAATATCAGCAATAGAATAAGGGAGAAAGGGGACTCAAGAGAAGAGGATCATGTGGAATTATAGTTGTTGACCAAAAAATCAAGGCAGGGAATGGGTGAGAGGATATTCAGTGGCATGTGAGGCATGGGATTGAAGGTCATGGTGAGGACAAAGTAGAGATTAAGAGAAGCAAGAAGCAAGGAGGAGGGGGAGGTGGGACAACAGTGAATTGTGGTTTGATAAGGGAATTTCAAAGTTCAGAAACGTGGAAGTGAACCACTTGTGAGGAATCTTACCATCTCAGTGTGTAGTTGGAGTGTTCAAAAGAAATAAGATAATGAACTGAAAAGTTAGAGTGTTTGAGGAAATATCAATCTATAAGCCAAAGATCCCTATCATAAGGGCAGGAGCCAGGAAGGAGAGAAAGTCTGTGAGCCAAGAATGGAACTCATTGGGAAAAGAAGAGTGTCTTGAAGATGAAGAGATAATAACTTCCAAAATCATTATTGAGTGGTACTTATGGATTGTGAGCCTCAAAGAAAGAGAGGTTCCTGAGAGATGTGCCTGGAAGTGTCCAAGGAGCATTCCAAGTCCTCCACCATGACCAGTTTTGGAAAGGATGACCAGGGAAGCTGTGTCCTAAGGACAGGGCTGAGTTTTAATGAGTGTAAGAAGATGGACAGATGGGGCAGGTAGTGGCACAGTGGATAGAGCTCCTGCCTTGGAGTTAGGAGAATCTGAGTTTAAATCTGGCCTCAGACACATAATACTTACTAGCTGTGTGACCCTGAGCAAGTCACTTGACCCCATTGCCTAACACCCCCTCCACATACACACACACACACACACACACACACAGAGAAGATGGACAGATCGGGAAAGGAAAAGGTTTAAATGAAAACAAGATTTTTACCTATGGACGAAGCATTCCAAAAAGCAACATGGAAGGAGCGGGTAACTAGATTTGGATGTTTGGGGTGAGGCTGGATTAAGCCAGATGGGAATAAGGGAGCAGAACAGGGAAGCAGGTTTAAATAATGACTGATGGGGTTTGTGATGTGGAGGGTATGATAGGACAGAAGCCTGCAAATCACTGAGCAAGGAGCTCAGGTAGGTTTTTGGCATCCCTGGGAATTGTGCCACAAGGCTGGCATCAGTTTATACTTGGAAATGCCAAAGTGGATGGGAGAGAGGTAAGTCTTGGGGCATAGGACCAAGCAATTAGGCTAGTAGAGGGGATGCAATGAAATGGCAATTTCTTCCTTCTCCCAGCAGGCCTAGGAAGATGACTGGCAGAAAGAGCTCGATAAAACGGCATTTCTCTTCTTCCTTCAGCAGTTCCAGGAAGGCAACTGCTGGAGAGAGGCCCATAGAATGATGCCTAGTCAAACCCATTCTAGCAACAGTTGACCAGGAGCCAAGTGATCTGCTTTTTCCAGGCCAACAGGAATCAATCCTAATGAGTATCCAGTTCAGCAGCTGAGTGACCTTCTTGATCCAGCCTGGCAGGAAAATGATCCATTCTGCTGAGATGCCACAGGCACCTGAAAGGAGCCACCCCAGCTAAGCAGTGGAGCAACTAATGCTATGCCCCACAATGAAGTCTGAGAAGGCTCTCCATAAAAAGAAAAAACATGAGGCCCTTCATTACCCTGACCCCATGCATCCTCTACACATGCGCTTCCCTACCAGCATGCTGTATGTCTATTCCTACTCCTCCCATTGTTGATTTTGAATATGTCTGTGGTAAATTATGCCCAAGTTTTTCATGCAAAGCGTACTTTATTTTTTCCAGTTCCATGTAAAGATAGTTTTCAACACTCATTTTTATAGGATTTTGAGTTCCAAATTTTTCTCTCTCCCTTTTCTCCCTCCCCAGCCCCCTTCCAAAGATGGCAAGCAATCTGATATAGGTTATACATGTTGCACCTAAGGTTTGGGGAGGAAATTGTAACTACTATTATTCCCATGTCATTTGAATAAACACCTTTTCTAAAGAACTGAGTCTACAGACTGATTGTAAAGAGCACACCCGTGGGGGTTTCTGAGCTATGGTGTCAAGTGGATGGCCAGTCACAGGGTTCCTCCTAGACCACCGAAAGTAATAGCAGCTGCCCATCCTGGGTATCCAAGTTGATTAGTGTTACTGTGGATTTGAGGAGTGAACCCAGAGGGTGATGTTACACTTGCGTGTGTGTGTGTTATCACATTTGATTTAAGGGAAGGTCCTTGAGAGAAAAGACTGTTTCATGTCTGTCTTGGTATCCCTCGCACCAATCACATTTCTTATGATGCAATATGTGCTTAATAAACAAATGCTTGTTGCTTGTTAACTGGCTGACTGATTAATGTTAGGAAAAACAAACAGTCATCTAAAAGTGGAATTTGCCACCTTGGAAAGGAGTTGTTTCCAGTCTCAGTGGATGTGTTCAGCCAAAATCTGCATTAATATTTCAGGGGAATATTTTGGAAGGGATTCCTATTCAGTTAAGCGGTTTGGATGGGATGGTCTCTGAAGTCCCTCCCAACTTATGTGTAATTTTGCGAAACTGATGGGATGTACTAAGTGGTCTCTAAGGGCCCTCCCAGCTCTCCAATTGTATATTAGAAGGAACCTCCCAAATCTGACATAACTCTATTCTAAAAGGTGTCCCAATTTTCATATTCTATGTCCCAAGTTTCCTCCTCACTCTAACATTTTGGATTCTCAGGGGCCTCCCAGTTGTCAATTCTATAACCTAAGTTTCCTCCCATCTTTCAGGCTCTGTGTTCTAAATGTAAAGATGGAGATCCACTAAAAAGTAATGACGTTGTCAGGAAATAATTCCTCTTGACTGAATCAGCCAGAATTAGGTGTGACCAAAGATAGGACATTTCTTTGAACCATTCAAAGACATTTCAACTAAGAGTGACAGGAAGCCTTTTCCGATTAGCATAAGAGACTTGGTATGGCCTCTGAGTCTTGTGTTAAAAACAGCAAACTAGTTCAGAACCTGAGAGATTTAAAAGCCTGATGTCAGACAGGAAAGTGTTTCAGCTAAGCCTTTTAGAAGGAATTGCTTGGAGAGGAAAGCAACTTTGCTCCTTCAGCCCTGCCCTTCCTTGCCTGGAGGAAGACCTCATGAGCTTCAACAGGTCTAGAGGATTTTGGACTTCCTCTCTTCCTATTGCCATCTCAACAGCATCCAAAGAACGGGGGGTTCAGTGTGTACCTTGGAAGCTAAGAGAAAGTGGATGAAGATTCAAAGTTCTATAAGGATCCCTGCAGGAGAAATACACCATAATTAAGGGGCCCATCTTAAGGATTCCAGAAAAACCATTTCTAGCAGCTGTAAGTTACCTCTTTGACCCCTAAGCTTGAGTCTCTTCTCTCATGTACATTGTACGTACCTCTGGGAGTGTGTAATAGACATTTTGAGAAGAATGTTGAGTACAAAATGTTTTAACTCTACCACTTTAGTAAACGCCCTTTTCTAATTAAGTTTATTAAGTCTTACTGACTAATTGGTAACAACATATGATTATGGCAGAAAGCATTCTTATGGGGAGTTATGATCTATAACAGTACAAAACAACTCCCTAGGGCTATACCCCCAAGGAACTCAAAGAAAGAAGGAAAAGACTCATATGTGGAAAAATATTTATGAAAGCTCTTTTTACGGGGGTGAAGAATTGGGAACTGAGGGGATACCCATCAATTGGGGAATGATTGAACAAGCTATGGTATGTGAATGTGATGGAATACAGTTACTTCAAAAACTAACGAAGAGGATGGTTTTAGAGAAGTCTGGGAAAGACTTATATGAATTGTTGCAAAGTTGAGTGAGCAGAACCAGAACTATCTACACAGTATCAGCAATATCGTAATGACGATCAACTGTAAAAGACTTAGTAACTCTGATCAACACAATGACCCAAAGGACTCATGATGAAATATGCTACCCACCTCCAGAAAGAGCTAATGGACTCAGTGCAGACTAAAGGTTTTTTTTTTCCTTTTTCTTGCTTTTCATGGACCATGGCTGATGAGGACATTTGTTTTGCATGACTATGCTTATTTGTAATAGATTTTATTTTTCTTACCTTCTTATTGGGTGGGTGAGGTAGTCCACTTTACAACTGTTGCCCTGTCTTGGTTTCAACTCCACAGAACAAGATGCCCTTCCCAGGATAAGCTCATTACTTCTAAACTCACTACCATGCTGTTGACTCAAGCTTTGATTGACACCGCCTCCCTTAGCCTCTTCTCTGCTCTGATTGGAGGGCTAGAAGGCAGAATACCAAACTCCCCCAAATGCCTTCCTTTGTAGAGGGCAGAAATTGGACTCAACTCACTCCACTTTGCATCTGCTGCCCTACATGGTTTCAACTCCACAGAACAAGAAACTCCTTAGTTTCCCATCCCCATCTTCCCTCCGCCCTCTTTCCTGCCTCCTTTTGGGCATTATCTCCCCTTTCAGTTTCTAAGATCCTTGAGTATAGAAGACTGTCTTTCTTTTTGTTGATCATATCCCCAGCACTTAGGACAGTTCCTAGCACATAGTAAGCACTTAATAAATGTTTATTGGATTAGAGGGAGACAATGTGGACTGAAAAAATAATAAAAAGTCTCTATGTTTTGAGTAAATACAGAAGGAAGAAGAGAGAGAAAAGAAGAAAGAAATGGGGAAAGAAAGAAGGAAAGAAAGGAAGAAAGAAAGAGAAAGGAAGGAAGAGGGAAAGAACAAAAAAGAGAAAGGAAGAAGAAAGAAAAGAAGAAGAAAAAAGAGAGATAAAAAAAGAAAAGAAGGAAAGAAGTGGGAAAGGAAGAAAGAAAGAAAGAAAGAAAGAGGAAAAGAAGGAAAAGAGAACAACTCCAATCCATCAGGGATATGAGGGAATAGAGTAGCCAGGCTCTGGGGCCCCAACTCAGTGCAAGTGGGAATTGGGATGGTACCCCTTCCCCCAATGCTGAGATTCTATGCTCTATGACTTTCTGACAGATAATAAGGGTTTTGTCCTCTGGACAAGTGCCATAGTGAGAACAGGATGTGACTTCTTGGAAAATGCCTTCTCTGCAGCCTACACCTTTGCCTCCTGGGGCTAGGCTATCCAAAAGGAAAGGAGACTTTGTTGTCAGGTTATCTCAATGTCATAAGGCAGATCAGAGAAGGACCTGAGTAGTGGGTCTCCAGACAGAGTGAGCTCCATCCAGGAATAGAATTAGATTGTATCTTCTTCATTTGACTTCCTATCCCATGACCCCCATGCCACCTCATTGAAACAGTCTCTGAGCACTGGTCTTGGGTATCTTGGTTTCCTGGGCTCTGGCTCTCCTGGTTGTTTCAAGGATTGATTCTTTTGAAGTTAAGGGATGCATAGTGAATCTCCTCTGATGGTGCCTGGGAGGCTAGGCTAGTCAGGGGCAAGCTAGGACCCCTGTGTTGATCCTATAAGGAGTGAAAGGAAAAGAATCTGGCATGAGCCCAGGATACTGAGGATCTTGGCCTGACTCTGGGGAACCAATCATGGTTTGAGAAGGAGGCTGTCTTGCCTTTTGGTCAGGAGCCTTTCTCTTAGGAATGGTTAGTGCCATTTGCTAATGCATATGACCTACCAGCCAAATTGTGATCTTTTCAAGGTGGGGGTGGGGCACAGAATGAGATACAAGGAGGGGGAAGCCATAATCTGGTAGTCAGAAAATACAGTTTTGAATCTAACCTTTGCCTACTACTCCATGGGTGAACTTTGAGGAGACCCCCACTGGGGCTTCACTTTCCCCCTCCTGATGTAATAGCTGGTGTACATAGTCCTTTAAATTCCACCAAGTGATTTGTTTCATTGGACTCCCAAAATAACCTTGTGAAGCAGGTGTTAGGGACATTATTATCCCATTTTAAATATAGGGACAATAAGGCTAAGAGACATGAAGTGATTTGCCCAGGGTAAATCCCAGTAAGCATCAGAATTTGGCTCTGAACCCTCTTCATGACTCCACAACCAATCTACTCTGCCAAGTCATAGTATGTCTGATGTTACTGTGTGACCTTAGGTAACTCTCTTCTTTCTGGGAAAACTCTAAGCTCCTTGGGTAAGTTCCTTCTTTCTGCTGGGGCTCAGTTTTCACCTATATAAAATGAGTGGGGTTATATTAGATCAGCTCTAAGGCTTTGCCAATGACTTGCTATGTGACCTTGGGAGAGTCCCTTTCCCACTCTGAGCCTCAGTTTTCCCTCTGTACAATGAGTTCTCTAAGATTCCTTCCAACTTTAAAGTCTATGAAAAGTGAGGGAACTTGGGGGAGTCACTTTCCCTCCTTCTCTGGGCCTCAGTTTCACTCTATAAAATTGAATTGGATCAGTCATGGTGGTGTCTTAGGCCCTTTTCTTCCATGATTGGGAGGCACAGTGATGCCTTGGAAAGAATACTAGATGTGGAATCAAAGGACATGTAACTGAATTACATTGCCTTGTTTGTGAAGTGACCTCATCAAAATACTCCCTCTTTCCAGAACTTAGTTTCATTATCTGTAAAACTAAGGCTTGGGTGAATTTATTTCTGGGGTTCCTTCTACCCTTAAAGCTCTGATGTTATGAATCCTGTTTATATAAACAAATTACCTGAAGGCAAGAGGGCACCAGATGAGAAGCATCTTGATTCAGAGCCTTGCCAGTGGAGAGAATTATGGCTGGAGGGGTTTGACCAGGGCCAAGGAGCAAAGACTCTCAGGAACATGAGAGATCAGCAACTCCCAGCTCCCCATGGCACCACTGAGAAAATTGAAACTAAGAAAGGAAAAGGAACTGGCATCCTTCCTCATCTCCCTCCTCTTGTAGCCTCTCATCAGTCTGCCTTCTGACCTTATTATTCAATTGAA